CAATCATGAGATCCCCTGGGGACGTGCAAGGTACATATATCGCTGAAGCCATCATCGAAAATGTAGCGTCTAGCCTCTCCTTGGAGGTTGATACAATAAGAAAGATTAATATCCATACATATGAGAGCTTAGTTCTGTTCTACAAGGATAGTGCTGGTGAACCACATGAGTATACTTTATCTTCGATGTGGGATAAGGTTGGCGTATCTTCAAACTATGATGAGCGGGTTTCATTTGTCAGAGAGTTCAATGAGTCTAGCATATGGAGAAAACGAGGGATATCTCGATTACCCATCATTTATCCGGTTTCCATGTTTGCAACTCCAGGGAGAGTAAGTGTTTTGAGCGATGGAACAATTGTTGTTGAGGTTGGTGGAATCGAGCTAGGACAAGGGCTATGGACAAAGGTGAAGCAGATGACTAGTTATGCTCTCGGTATGCTACAATGCGATGGAACAGAAGATCTTTTAGAGAAGATAAGAGTTGTACAATCAGATACATTGAGCATGGTCCAAGGAAATTTCACAGGAGGTAGCACAACATCGGAGGGGAGCTGTGCAGCTATTCGTCTCTGCTGCGAAACCTTAGTCAAAAGATTGAAACCTTTAATGGAGAGATCGGGTGGTCCAATGAGCTGGAATAAGTTGATTTCTCAGGTATTCTTCCTTGATTTGCTGCTTATTATTGGTGCAACGAATTAAAGACTGAGCTTCTTGTTACATCCATACGCAGGCTTATGCTCAATCCGTGAACTTATCAGCCAGTGACTTGTATACTCCAGAAGATGTTCCCATCCGGTACCTTAACTATGGTACTGCTGTCAGCGAGGTAAACTTTGTTTGTTTTCCTATCCCAAAAATCTTGAAATTTGGATGAAGAAATGGAGTAACTTTGGTGCTTCATTGGTGTAAATAGGTTGAAGTAGACCTTGTGACGGGACAAACTACGGTTCTACAAACAGATATCTTATATGACTGTGGTAAAAGCCTCAATCCCGCTGTCGATTTAGGACAGGTAATATAAATAAAGAAAGCACACAAAGCAAATGATTCTTTGTGTAATGTGTTTTGTATGCATCTTCTTCAGATTGAAGAATCTTTCTGTTGATGTGTTTTGTGTATTTCTTCTTCAGATTGAAGGATCTTTTGTGCAAGGACTTGGGTTCTTCATGCTTGAAGAGTACATAACAGATTCAGAAGGACTGGTTTTGACAGACAGCACATGGACATACAAGATTCCGACCGTTGACACCATTCCTAGAAAGTTCAACGTCGAAATACTAAACGGTGGATCCCATGAAAAACGCGTACTCTCTTCTAAAGGTCAGTCACTCGTTCGACACAAAAGAGATTTCGAAAACTTACTGCAATCAACAAATATGATCATATTGTTTTTGTAAAAATGCAGCCTCAGGAGAGCCTCCTTTGCTACTGGCAGCTTCGGTGCACTGTGCCACCAGACAGGCCGTTAAAGAAGCACGCAAACAGCTATGCATGTGGAAAGGTCAGGATGCTTCATCAGGTTCAATGTTTCAGTTGCCTGTTCCGGCTACAATGCCGGTTGTGAAGGAGCTATGCGGTCTAGATATCATTGAAAGCTATTTGGAGTTGAAATTACGCAAAAACTCAAATTTGTGAGCAACAACAATTATATCTATTAATACTACATGAACAGAAGTACTTGTTTCTTTCTTCCAAAGTACTTTATCTCTGGTCTCAATCTAGTCATTCATGATTTTGATGATTAAATAAGAAAACTGTTTTTGAGAGAACAAAACAAAAACCAGCCAATTCAATTGATTTAAAAAATTTATCAAATATTATATAAATGATATAGCAATAATCCTTAATGACAAATACAAAATTCTCTTCAAAAGTTAAATTAAAGAACAAAAATAACCAAAGAAAATCTTAGCAATTGAGTGAGTAGGGGAAAGGAGGACTGAACAAAACTACCTTTGTATGAAAAGAGAACAAAACAACAAGAAGCTGCCCCAAAGCCCAAATCAAAATACAAGAGGTATAGGGAAGCTACCTTCGATCCCAGCAAACACCATCAACCATAATAGATTCCAAGCTAGATCGTGTCCAGCTTTGACCTTGACCATATCAATTGATACTACCAACGTTCAGAGATCCCTCCATAGTCACTATAGTGTTGAGTTCTGCCATACCTTGATGGTGCAGGTTCATAACTGTGATTCTGATGATGATTATGCTGATGATGATGATGATGATGATGATGATGCTGATGATGCTGCCTTGATGGTGAAGGACCCGAGAGATGCCTACTAGACTGAGATCCCAGGAAACGCTCACCAGGACTGAATGTTGACGATCTATAGTCATTACTCCTATGTCTAGTGGATGACCTAAGGTTATAACCCGATGGTGTAATGGGAGACTTTGGCCTACTCATCTTTCCTCTTTGGAAAGATTCTTCTTCCGGTTCCTCTGTGATCCAACCGCCTCTGTGTTTTCGTTTCAATGGTGAAGTATGGGGCGGTTCTTCTTCATGTGTTTTCTTCTTCTTCTTCTTCTTAGTCTTCCCATTGGATTCATGGGGAGTAGAATTGTGTTCCGGGATTTCTTTATTTTTCTTGCGTGATTTATGTGATGTTGTAGATGTATCACGGTCCCTCTTAGAAACCTATATGTAGCAAAAAGGCTACGCTGTGAGTCTTTATAACATGAGAGAAAACAAAAGAAGCGAAGCGCTCAAAGCACCAAATGTAGTAGTACCTGGGAGGAATTGGGGCATTCACGAGCGAAATGTCCTACTCTATTACAACTGTAGCATAAACTTGTTGAGTCTCTTCCATGTGAAGTACTTATGCTCGACGAATTAGGGCATTCACGAGCGAAATGCCCTTTTTCCCCACACCTAAAGCATTCACTGGCTTCCCTGTTGTTATCTGGAAAGCTTACACTGGAAGAGTTAGGGCAGTCACGCTTCAAATGCCCTTCTCCCCCACACTTATAGCATAATGGACTGACAGAATCATTTTCGTTGCTTTCATCATAGTGTCTACCACATGCCTACAGAGAATTTTAAATTAAGTAATAAGTTCTGCATCTTTATTTTAACTTAAATGAAAATAGATGAATTCTGTTTAGAGAGGGCAAACTCAATCAATGACAGTTTGGCTAATTCAAAATCAGATTCTCAATAACTTACCAGTCCGGTATGACCCTGTTGGCCACATCTGTAGCAAGATACAGACCATGACGGTGAATTCCCAGGTTGAACACAACATAGATGGCCAAAGCTTTTACAGACATAGCATTGTATATCCTGGTCAAAGTAAATACAGCAAGATAGCGTTACCACTCGACCTTCATTACAATCTAACTATAGTAAAGCAATCAGACACTCAAGAAAGGTAAAATCAGATGTCATAGAAGATATATCCTAATATATCCAGACATAATCATAATACGTTTCTTTTCGTAAACAGTCTCCTTTTCTATCCGAATTTTAAACAATAATTAGAAAATAACATAAGGTATAAGAAATAACCATAAGAAAAGTAATGAACGTCTCGGAAAAAAAGGCTACCTTCAAATCTTCCGGAGAGTACTCATACTTGCACAGAATCATGTCATGTCCATAGTCTCCACATCTTAAACAGAGAGCTCCTTTAGACCCGCTTTTGTACTTATTTGGACAATCTTTAGCTCGATGTCCAGATTTTTTGCATATATAACAATCATGTCCCTGTGGAAATAAGCAAAGATGAACTCAGCAACCCTATGCAACAAAAGAGACTAGTCCTCAAACTTCTATGGTCTACCATAAAACTTTAAAACCGAACCTTCGAACATTGCTTTGCACCATGTTCCAAACTCCCACATATAAAGCAAGGCTTTCTACGCTTAGAAGGAGTTGGACAATTGACAGTTATATGACCTTGCTCCCCACAACTATAACAACTCACCCAACCTGCATCAGGAGGGTCAAAGTATCTTGCTCCACGCTGAGATAACACAAGACCCCCAACAATGGTCATCATCACAAAGATACATACTTTTTTGATACCCAAAAAGCATAAGGGAGATAAAGGGCAGTGACTCAATCAACTCACAAGAAGCTTCTTTAAAACTAAATTGCTGACTGGTTCTTCAGTCTTTGGTTCAGCAGGTCTCTCAACCTCATCATCTTTATCTTCACCTTTTACTACATCCTTCTCCTCATCTTGGTCTTTCCAAACAATGGGCTGATACAATTTAGAATAAAATCAAGAGGCATTAAACACAAGCATCAAACTTTCCAATTGCAAAAATGAAAGACATGTAATTTAAAGCTAGAGAAAGCAATTAAGACAGACGATAACTGAAACTGTAATGAGAGAAGATATAGAAGAGAAACAATTCACACTTACAATTTCATTAGCAGCTTCTAACTTCTTCCTCTTCATCTTCTTAACCTTAGACGTTCCTCCATTAACCATCACAGTACTAACAACACCAGAATCAGAGAGATCCGAATCAACCTTGTTCCCAACATCACGCCTCGATAAAGCTTTCTCTAATATTTTCAAGCTAAGATCTTCATTAGCTTCATCATCATCATCTTCATCATCGTTTTCTTTAATGGCTATTGGATCTTCTCTGCCCTCGTCTTCTCCGTCATCAAAATCGAACTTTTCATTCCTCGGCATGACTAAAGAATCAAAATTTCAAAACCCAAAATCTAATTTCTACAGAAATCGAATTGAACGGTGTAATCGGCCTTAGTTTTTGTTATACGGCCGCCGGAGGAAGAAGATGATTAACAAAGTAGGGTTTTGAATAAGAGTGGTATTTTTCTTTATTTCATATTTAGTCCTCACTTCTTTTTAATTTATTTTACACATTCATCCTTTCCTTTTTTATATATATTAACTACAAAAAATGCCATTAAACTTAAGCATAATATTTTTTTCGAACTTAAAATATTGACGATGCTATTCATTACCTAATTACAGTAGAGTAAAAGAGTTTGCAATTTTAATGTATAACTATTTATTTATCTTACTAAATAATATGACGTATAACGATATACGCATAAGTTCTTAAATCAAATTTTGGTGATGTTGTTCGAGTAAGAATAGTTATAAGTTAGATGATTATTTATTGGATTAACACGATAACAAAATATATGTATTAATACGTTTATGAATATATGGTGTTAAATTATATTATATCGCGATAAGTTTATGATTTAAGTGATAAATTCATATTTATCGTGCTAAATTCATTTATTATTATCAAATATATAAAAATAATAGTCAGGTCGTCATGAATTCAATTTTTATTTGAGATATATAACTATTTTATTAGCATGATATATAATAATGTAGCTTTTAATAACATGTTAATGGAACATTAGCAATGCAAAACAAGGTTGATTTGAAAGATATGCGTGAGAAACTGATATAAATGTATGTGAGAGTATCATTATATCATATGTATAATTATATTATTCCAAATATAATTCAAAGTGGAATTCTAAAAGATTGTGTAGGAATTATAAATCTTATGTTATTCAAACATGGATTTTAAAAAATCGCATGAAATCTAGTGTTATTGAACTAATTGTTTCAAAATTCATCTTAAAATCCACTGTTATTGAAAAAAATTGTGGATTTGATTTAAGGGGGTGTATTCAAGGTAGAAATTAAAGTGATTTCAGTTTTTTTGGAGTTTTTAAATGATTTTGATGATTTTCTCGAAGATCATATGATTTTTGTAAAATATTTTCAAATCTCACATAAAACCATGGAATTTGGATTTATGTTATAGATAATATCTATGTTATGTGAGAAACAAATTTTCTAATCCATGAATGTTTGAATACTGATTACGAGAAGTAAATCCTTCAATATTTATGAATAACGTTTTATTACGTATGTGAATATAATTAACCAAATGTGTATCGGCATAACAAGTAAGAAATATTTTATTATTATTTTTTAATTAAAAATAATAACAATAATAAACCACCCACTTCAAATTATCACTATAAATAATATCCATTGTAACCATATTTCATCATCACTATTTTTTCCACAATCTTCAAATTTTCTTTTGCTCTTTGTCGATAAATAAATATAAAAGTTTTGAAATCAACCAAAAAGTGAAGATGAAGCTCATGGTCGCACAATTCTTCATGATCTCTCTTCTCCTCACATCTTCTCTTTTCGTACATTCAAACGCTGGTTCTGGTAAGTGTTATATATATACTTAGGCATGCCACTGTTACAGTTTTAATTTTTCTTAAATACGGTTATGATTATGTGATGATTATGATACAATTAATATCATGGACAAAATATTATATATTAAATAATAATTATTTTATAATATAAAATATATGTAATGATATGATTCGGATTTTTATAGTAAAATAGTTAAATAAATGAGTTTTTGATTAAAAAACCTACAAATAATTAAATTAATAGTCATGAACCTAAACTAGTTAAAATAAATCATTTTTTATTTGATTAATGGATATAAGTAATGGAGTGGATTAGAATTAAAGTTGACACATCAAACCATTTAAAGCACTATTTAAATGAAATAATTTATAAAACGTTTAACCATACGGTTAACTATGCCGTTAACCGTATAGTTAAGTTATGACAAACGGTTATGATTAGTATTTTCTTTATAACCGTGACTGATTTATATTTTACAGTTAACAATGATAGTTTTTAACCGTTTTATACGGTTTACCGTCCAGTTATAATTATATTTTGGTCATGCCTACATACTTAATCTTGTTAGTTACTTTATTATATTAAAACTACTATATAGTTGTTTGAAATTCTCTAACATTTTATATGTAATGCTTAATGAATTAGCAGCATGCGATGGAAAGTGCAATGTGCGATGCGCAAAGGCAGACAGAACACATGGAGAGTGTCTTAAAGACTGCAATATATGTTGCGAGAAGTGTAACTGTGTTCCATCAGGTACCTTTGGTAACAAAGATGAGTGTCCTTGCTACCGTGATTTGATTAACTCCAAAGGTGGATCCAAGTGTCCTTAAACATGCATGTTTTTGAAGATATACAATTTATCATATACTCATCGCAGGCTTGATATCTACTATATGTAAAAAGTCTAATCATGTTTTTGTTTGATGTATGAAATACAATCTATGAGCTTAAAAACTTTTATCTTGTTCTTAAACACATCAAGAATAAATCATATCAAGGTTTATATATCTCTCAGCTTTATCTTTACTGAGACGAAAAAATTGTCAAATATTTCAATCACTACAAAAAAAAGAGTGACACATAGCTTTAGATATGCAAAGCTTATTTGGAAAATGTCTACAAATTCATTTGTCAATATCTACAAGAAAATTATAATATGTAGCTAATTGCATTGAAAGTGATTAACAATGAAAATCTTTGTTATGCTTCCCCAATGTACTGTATATACATGTCTATACACATATTCTAGATATTATTTTTTGGTTCAGACAAGGATGTATGTTCGGAAGATGATCAAAGGCTGGTCTTGTTCATGTATTGCTTCGTTCAATACATGAGACAGGTCAATTCTCAAACTGTCTAAACCAGTCGGCGATAGTTCTCGAAAGAACTCGAGTTTCGCTAAGAGGAATCGTCTTTAGCGCCTGAGCCACAGCGTCTGCTGGTGTGTAAACAGACCCAATCTGCCACTTTGGGTCCTGGAGTGAACATAATCAAACCCAATTAACAGGATGGAGAAAAAAAACAGAGCAATGTTGTTAACTGTAGATGTACTAGCTTTAGTGTATTACCTGTATGCAAGGTGTCAGATGGTTTCCACTAAGCCGGACTTTTTCAAGTGTACCGCCGATAGATTCTATCCTAGGCCTAAGGGTTTCTTCAAGCAAATCAGTCTCATCGATTGCATCGGAGTTGAATTGTACCTGCGACAAATGTTGCAGTAGACCAAGATCAAATATTAGGATTGCTGGTTCCAACCAGACACAAACTATTCACTTCTATGCTTCCTAGATCAATGTGTACAGATATGACAGTTTGCTTAGCAGTTGGTTCACTCTTCAGTCGACCTACTTAATGCAACAAACAAACATCTCTATAACGAGAACTGGTTTTTCTGGTAGATGATTATATAAGTATTTAATGATTGGAATGTCACTGAATTCTTGACTAGAACAGGCTCAATCTACACTTAGTAATAATATCTTTGAACCATCAAGCTCATATAACTCTAAATGAACCTGTGTGAGCATTACCAGTAAAGTGTGTGGAACACTGTATGAGCACTTGAAGCGATTGCGATTCTCAAGTGGTGACGGCCGAAATTCCGACACCCCTTGTCCAACCTTCAAAGAAGGAGAAGTTCAATGTCATTTATAATGCCTAGGCCAATTACAAGGGAACTACAAAAGCTCAATCTTCGACATGAAGTCAAGAAGTCCTTACTGAAGAAATACCTCACCAAATACTGAGGGCAATTGATCCACCAAATTAGTAAATGACTTCAGAGCTTCTTGATCGTTATTTAGAATCGTTGTCCCAGCAGTATCAAGTAAAAGTTTCAACACATCACCTGTAAGTGAGCACAAGGGCAAAGATTATAGCTTCTTTTGATTTCACAAAATTTATTAAAGTCTCTTTGGTGCATAGGTGAGACAGAAAAGATCAAAGGCATTGCCCTACAGCTTATGTCAACATAAAATCATATCCCTGGATAAATTTGGACGCACTATCCAAGTTGAAAAAGGTCAAAGAAGGATAAAACAGGACAATATGAACAGGAACTAGAGAAGTTCTCTTATTTTTTGCTAAAGATTCAATGGACAGAAAGACTAAAACTGTTTCTACTAGCAATCTCTAATAAATAAATTATTTGAGAGGACATTCGAATTAAACTTTGTAGCGTAAGTAGTAACACCTGAAGCATTTCGAGCCATTTCATATACTGGAGAAGCTTCCACGACTGGCATCATCTGCTGAATAAGAGGACCAAGCTGCAGAGAAACAGAGGTAATCTAAGATACAAAAAATCATAGTCTCATTTGGAATCATATAATGAAGGTTTAAATAGGACAGCGTAGGAGAACAATGACAAGAGAATATAACTATTACATTCTAAACCAAACAAAAGATATCACCTGCTCAAAATACGGAACTGCCTCTGTCGCTGATTTGTTGTTAAATGAAATGATAGCATTAACCTTTAAAAGAGAGAGAACATATTTGTCACAGTTGCTTAGAATTAAGACAAAGAAAAGGTTCTCACTCTAATCTTGCTGATTTTACTGATATTGACACTTAAGCTCACAAGTAACCTTAACCTTTGGTATCTTCTCAGAAAAATAACTTCCGGTCAAAACTTGTAGCAGTGCACCATTACTGCATAAAAGTCGACAGTAGTCAGCCTTCAGAACATAGAAAATTCATACGGTTCGAGCAAAAACACACATACAAAGAGAAGTGAACACATTTACTTAAGAAGTTTCCCAACCTGTGACCAACTGAGAAAAGAGGAAGGTCAGCTAAATCTTCAGCCTTGAAATTTGCATTTGGAATTCCTGATGAGACAATCTTGTCCAAACATGAATTGAACCTCTCATAAACCTGCTTAGCAGCTTGTTCATGATCAAATGTAACATTGTACGGCACTGATACTATTAAAAACCCTTCCTTTGCCAGTAACTCCTTGAGGTAACTAAACATCACACAGCCACAAAGGAACTACCAATCAATTCAAGACCATTACAAAAAGCTCATGTACCCAAATCTAAGCAAAACCCATGAAATTAAAGAAAGCCATATCTACAAAGTCAAAACCTTTCTTTATCCTAAGCACTGAAATGATCAATCAAACTAGTCCAATCCCAGTAAACACCAAAACTCAGAATCATCGATAAGACCTATTTGAATCTCCAGTACCTGTAAGTGAGTTCAGGAACAGCACCGACGAAGGCACCTCCCAAGAATTTAACAATGGCACGAGGTTTCTTGAATCTAGGAGGAGGAGGGATGACTAAACAAGTGTCAAGCCTCGTGTAAACCTTATCGTTTCTACTTCGATTGTAACTGCCACTCGCTGTCACAGTGAGAGACACAGCTCGAACTCGTTTGCAGAACAGAGTCGCTGGAATCACTTGAGTACCCAGAAAACTCGAAGTCGCTAAAGCAAACTCCATTGTTGTGGAGAAAGACGAAAGCAAAACGTAAAGGTTCAATTTTTTTTTTTTTTTTTTCTTCTTTAAATTTGGTAATGAATTAGCTTTAGTGAACACAAATGGTTCCACGATAGTGAATACTATTTTTTCATGAACATGTATAACTAAAATTTTGATTATAAATAGTTTAGTTGACTTGTGATGATCATCACATGACTTGTATCTTGAGCTTAGTTGAATCTTTGTGAAGCTTCAACAAATCTTCTGTGAGCTGAACCTTTTTGGGGTCATTCGTTGTAGTTGCAAAATAAACTTTCAACAATTCAAGACACTTCATATTGAGTAAGAAGTGTGTGATGTGTTTCAGCTCGTCTACACTTCCTTGATACTCCATGATTCTGAGGGTATATACTTGGTTATTTGTGGGAATGCGAACTCCTACGAACCGATGTTTTCGCCCAAATGTGTAACGATGCAGGTCCTGAAGTGTTAAGAGGATCGAGAAAACTTTAATTTCATGCCATAGTAAGTAATACATATAGAGTAAGGTTTTGATTTGTACTGAGAGAAGGAGAGTTTTTAGGTTTGGAGAATGCTCTAGTAGAAGTGGCAGAAACACTCTCCAACCTCGTTTTTTACTCGAAAAGACTAAATCGACGAGGTTGTTGAACATTAGTAGTCCACCTTTGCAGCAAGCCGAAAGCACCTGAAAAGATACACAAAGAGAGTGTTTTTCATGTTTCTTTAAGTACCAAAAGGTGATGAGAGACAGAGAGGCCATACATTGAGACACTGACCTCGACAGCAGAGGAAGTCAAATGAAGGGTCTTGACGTTTTGTATTCCATTGATGATATCTGTCACATCCATGTCAAATCGATTGTCCCTGTTAGGGAAACTAAATTCTAGTGTAGCTTTGACAAGTGAATCCAAATTACAATGTGGAGAATGAGGCCTAGCACAATCAGAGTAGTAGAGGTCCACGACACTCGGTGTGTCAAGGGACTTAACGCCAGACGACTCCCGAAAAACATCACCGTCATAGACAACTGAGAGTGTCTTGATTGTTTGGCTGGATATGAAATCTCTACCAATAAGAAACTCAGAATGTATGGTTAACTCGTCAAGTGCAGGGCAAGCAGCGAGTAACACATGAGATAATTGACAATCTTTTAAAATAGATTGAATCAAGGAAGAGAATCTTTAGTGTTGGGAGAGATGCATTCAAAGGAATTCTTGGGATGTATAACTCTTTTCCCAATGACAGATTAACCAGTGTTGTGTTTGTGAATACTATGGATGGGTAATGATCTCGGGGAGACCGTACGGATAGTTGAAGCTCATGGACTCCGTGTTCCAAGGCATTACATATCCAGCGGTCAATGAGATCTCCAAATCTAAATGTTTCCATAAGTTTAAGTGACAATTTGTTTACATGGTTGCCGCCTTGGAAAGCCAAATTATCCAATGATCTGGTCACGAAATCCATGAAATTGTTCCCTCTTTCAATCATTGACGAGTTCCGAGGGTCGTAGTCATCAGGGTCGAGACTTTGCCAGCGGTCGAAGTTGTCAAAGTCGAGACTCTGCCGGAACCAGAACAGAGTCCTCCACCTCTTGGAGAGAACATAGGTTGTCACAGCTTGTTTTGTAGGAAGTAAGGACAAGATTTGGACAAGAAGATCATTAGGAAGATGATCAATCGACGCCATAGACACAGAATCCAACCCTAGTGGCCTAAGTAAAATTTTAGGGATTTTTTCAATGGTGAAGGGCGATGAAAGGTTGCTTCTATGGTACGGGATAATGGATCTCTCTCGGTAGGGCTTCCTTTTGAGTCATCTAGTAATTTCCTTTTTGGTAACGTTTGATAATGAATAGCTTTTAGTGAACTCCATTGTCCAAGATAGTTAATATTTTCATGAACTTGTAAAATTAAAAACACATTTTAAGTTTGGATTCTGGCCACAGAGCTAAATCGATGACAAAGATGGTTCATACAAAACAAAGTAGCAAAGCTGCTTTACACCGTGAGACACACAGAAAGAAGAAAAAGGTCAGAGACAAACGCTTTGTAACAGACTCGAGGGTGTTGGCTGCTGCTGCTGCTTAGTGAAGGCTACGCATGATACCGTGTATGTATCCTCCGGTCATGATAAAAGACATGATTGATACGACTCCCGCAGGAAATATCTTCTTCGATCTCATGTATCGGGTTCCCATCACCCACGTTAATGCACCCGCCATCACTTTTTAAACAACGCAGGTGTTAACAACTTTTTAGCAAATTGTTAACTAAGATAAGGTATGACTACCAGATGTGAGGACATGACACGGAACTACTCTGTTATTATATATGTTTTTACTTACCTACGCCAATGGTTGATGCAAGAACTGGTTTTGTTGGGAGCTGGGTGTACACATAGAGTAGAACAGCAGCTGTCAGTCCACCTGCAAGTAGTGATTTCTGGCTACCACTCTTCAGATAACCCATCAGTCCACCAACTGCATCAAAAGTCAAAACCATGTAACAGTTCATCTGAGTTTGAGCATCAACTCTCTAGGCAAGCATAACATCAGTGTTCTTAAAATACGTTTCAGTCTATCTATGAGTCCATGATAAAATCAGAGTTCAAATTCACCTAATAAGCATACAGATACAGACAGAACTAATCTGGATTGTTAAACTCGTCGCGATCTGAAACAAATTAGTAACATCACCACATAAAAATAGTCTTAAAAGGCATCAACAAGGACAAGGAACTTTTCAATTTCAAACCTAAAGCTATCACAGTCACATCCAGAAACCTTTATTATTGCATTCAAGTTAAGCAGAACTCAAGTAACATCTCCAATCTCTAGCAACTACGTAAAAGCATCAAGTTAAGCAAATACTGCATCAACTTCTTAAAATCATCCAAAATATGGATTCCCCTAAAACACCACAGTTCAAGAATACAAATCAGTTTCTCATCCCCGATAAAAAAAACTGTGATGCTTCTACTATCCCCTGAGAAATCATGGTGGATCTACAAAATCCCAATTTTTTAAAGGTCTAAATGAAGAATCAGGTAAACCCCTAAACCCTAAAAGTTCCAAACAAATGACTAAGTTCTAATTCCTTATACAAATCATGGATTCCACAAAGAAGGAACCAAGTATAAACCCTAGAGGTTCAACAAATAGTAAAATTGAATCTCACCTCCAACAAGAAAAGCGTAACCAAGAGTCAACTTCTGGGACATAGACAAAGGCGTATTCTTCTTTCCATCACTCTCCTCCTCATCACCATCACCTTCGTCGTCATTCCCATCGCCGCCGCCTCCACCACCGCCGCCAAATTTATCACCCCCAATTCCACCACCACCACCACCGTAATCGATCGTAGGCTCAACTTCAACAGCTTTGACTCCTGAACCAACGCAGTTAGCAGTAATCGTCTTCTTCGAGTAAGAGTGAACTACAGCAGTAAGAGGAAGTCGTCGATGACCAGATGCGAACGCTAGAGGATGAAAACCATCGGAATTGAGGAATCTGAGAGTTCGGATCGGTGAAGCAGTTGAGGTATTGAGTAAGAAGAGATTAGGTCTGACGTGAAGGAGAGAGGACTGTGCAGAGGAACTCAAAACCAAATCCGCCATTTTCTTCTTCTTCGCAAGCTTTTTTTCGTTTAACGACTAATTTTAATTTGGTTTCAGAGAAAATCAAAGAAGAACATTAATCAAAATAATGAACCTAAACCGGCTGATTGGTCATGTTTGTAAACCGGTTTTTATTAAGGTCTTTGCAATAGGTAACTTCGGTCCGATTCATTTATGAAATTTATAATTTATTGTACAGTATGATTGGATTAATGGTAAGATTTTGTTTGATTATAAGATAACTACTCCTAGAAGGAACATATAATTGGCCTGAGCCTTTTCCAGAACTAAATTACTTTGTCAATTGACACAAATATAATACAAATATAATGTGAATTATACTATCTCACAGATGATATATATCCAAAATGGCACAATATTTGCCATACATTATGATGTTTTCCGAAAAAAATGTTGAGCGTGCATTTGGTATTCCAATTTCGTAAAAAACATAAAATATATGTTACACTTGTTAACAAGTCGTGTAAGTATAAATAGACATGTATATGTGGATATAGGTAATGTATAAATTAACTTTTTAAGCTTTTTGTTTGCAGGGAATTAAATACAAAAGAAGGACATGTCCATGTGGATGGGGTTAAGATTATAAGTATTTCAAACACCGTAAAATTAACCATTGTTTTTTTCCTTAACGATTTCAAATTTCTGATTTAATCTATCTCTCACTCACTCCATTGTTGCAATTTAGATATATTTCTCTTCAATCGCATTTGATTTTCGTTGTGATATTGTTTATTTCTATGTAAACTGCATTATCAAAAGATTATGTTGACAAAGTTCGAGACCAAGAGTAAGAGAGTTAAGGGTCTAAGCACAAATTAAAGACGAAAAAGAATACAGAAACAATATGAGGGAGAAAAGTAGGAGAGAGGGTGTTTGTTTTAGTTACTACTTAGATTACTTAGATTACTTAGACTACTTAGAGCAACTTTAACGGGCTATCCGTTCGGGCCTTATTGCAATTTTTAATTGGATTATAATCCAAACAATTGTTTTGTAAGACCCATCCGTATGCTGGGTAAGACTCTTTTCTGGGCGAGTCTTATGCCACGTGTCCGCGTCTGATTCGTTACAATATTGGGGTAAAGAAAACGTTTTTTCTTTTGTCGAAAAAAACAAAATCCCCAAATCATCTTCTTCTTCTTCTCTCTCGTTTGTTTTCGTTTCGAAATCCGTCGATTAGGTCATTTTTTTTGTTTATCTTCTGGTGTTAATGGTGCTTGATTTTGATCGCTGCTTGTTGAATCAGATCGCTTTTGTTTGATTTTTGCGTTTCTTTTTCCTTTCTTTCTTGTCTGTTTCGTTTTGAGCGCTGGGAACTTGGATTGTTCTTCGCTGATTGATGATCAATCTATTGATTTAGTTGTTTTGTTTTGGATTAGTATTATCCGATTTTTCGATTCTATTTGGGGTATTCCGATTTGATAGCTTAGTACATGTTACAGTAGTTGGGTGATTCGAGTGTTTGATTTGTGTAAATCAAGAAATCGAGGATGGATCTGTGATCTTCGTGTATCTCTGATACATTCAGCCTCTCACGTTGTTAGATTGTTGCTTAAGATGGTTATAGGGTTGCATTAGAACAGTGAATAATCGTGGATTGGAGAATAATCATTATGATATTTCTAGAAGTTTCTTATGTTTTATATGATTGGATTCGAATGGAACTTATAAGGATTTGTTGTTTCTATGTCCTCTGGTGGTTAATTTGTTCATTAGTGAGAAGAATTTATATGGCCTGTTTTGAGTTTGGTATATGATTGAATGACTCTCCTTTTGTTTGCAAGTTTTAGTGGACATTCGATATGGTTGATAACAAGGATGAAGGAAGCGCCAAGGGCTATGCTTTCCCTCTCAGGAACCCTAATGTTACCCTGAATGAGAGAAATT